TCATTTTCCTGGACTGTCACACAGTTAGAAAATAATGGAATGAAGCCTGGGAAGTTACCATTGAAACACTTCAGAAGGGGATGGCCCTAGAAGAGGACAGCTCATTTCACTCCTTCCTTTTTATACTGAGGCTGTGGGGTAGAAATCACAGTGATGAGTACTACAAACTAGCAAATTGGTTTGAAGATTATTTCTGATGCCAATATTATTAGTCTAAGTACCTTGAAGAAAAATAATGACAAGCATCAACCCTAAGGTTGATGGATCCTAACCTACTGCCTTAGGAGAAATGTGACAAATTAAGTTACACAAATATGATAGAAGTAAACCTACTTAGCAATTAATTGGCATTGAAGAAGTCATTCTCTAAAACAGTTTCTTAATCATGACTAATTCTAAGAACCAACTGAAATAAGGTTACATATACAGATTCCTGGGCTCTACCCTAGACCAATTGAAAAAGGATCATCAAGGGAGGGGCCTGAGAATCTGTACTTTTAGCAGACATAGCCAGTGATACACATGGATTATACATGTTTGGAAAATGCGTCAAAGAGATAAAGCCAAAAAAACAAGGAGAAAAATCTCATAGAGGAATTATTTGAATGCTTCTGACTAATCAAACAGTAGTTTCTTCCTCTTATTTTTTATTTTTATTTTATTTGACACACGGTCTCCCTGTGTCACCCAGGCAGCAGTATAATGGCATGATCACAGCTCACTGTACCTTCACCCTCCAGGGCTCAAGCAATTCTCTTGCCTCAGGCCTCCCTCCACCCCCAGTAGCTGAGTCTATAGGTGCGCACCACCATGTCCAGCTAGTGTTTTGTATTTTTTGTGGGGTTTTGCCATGTTGCCCAGGCTGGTCTTGAACTCCTGAGCTCAAGTGATTTGCCTGCCTCGGCCTCTCAAAATGTTGGTATTACAGGTGTGAGCCACCGCACCCGGCCTCCTCTACTTTCTTTAATGCACTCCCTCACTACTGGGGCCTCTAACTAATGTTTCTTCCTCTAGTCTGACTCTATCCCACAACCTAAACCAGTTGTTTTCCATACCACTGTCAGAGTAAAAGAAACTGGATGTCAAGCCTCTGATGACAATCTATCACAAGTTCTTACTATGGTTCATAGGATAAAATCCAAAGCCTTAGCATGACACCCTAGACTCCAGCTAATCCAGTCCTTGCCTTTCTTCTTCAGCCTTACTTCACATTGTTAGTCCACTTGAACCCCACCCTTGAACCACCCTGAATCCCTTCCATTGCCTTGAATACATGCTGCTCTTTTGCCTTTGTGCCCTCTGCTAACCGTGGTTTTCCTTCCCTCTTCCTCTGGTGTATCAGTCAGGTTAACACTAGGTTATGCTGAGGTAACAAAATCTCAGTAGGTGAAGATGACAAAGATTTACTACTCTCTCACCCGTTCTGTCAGGGGATGGCAAGTTTTTTGTTTTTTGTTTTTTGTTTTTCCTAAAGAGCTAGATGGTAAATATTTTAGGCTTTGTGAACAACATACAGTCTCTGTTGTACACTATACCTCTTCTTTGTAAAACTCTTTTTAAATGTAAAGATCATTCTTATCTGTAGGCCATACAAAAACAGGTGATTGGCTAGGCTTGGCCCATGAGCCCTAGGTTGCTAACCTCTACTCTATGTGAACATTGCTAAAGACACATAGACAGCAGGGAACTACTCACATGGGTAGTTCTAAATGAATCTAACTCAGAGACCTGGACTAATGCAGCAGCCACCTCTTAAACATTTCTTATCACCATGCAGACAAAAAGAGAGGGTCTCCTATATGCAATTAAATGCTCCAGTCTGAAAGTGGCACCCTGTAACTGAGACTCACAAATAATTAGCCAAAGTTAGTCTTTCGACCCCATCCAACCATAAGGGGGCCAGGATGTCCAATCCTACCATGTGTCCAGAAGTAGGGAGAATTCAGATTACTGGGTAAAAATCATGAAAAAAGCTCGGAAACAAACGCTCTGTGAAGCCTTTTCTGATACCCTCATCCTGCAGCCAGAATAGCTGCTTCTTCCCTGCAATCTTATAGCACTTTAAGCATCTCTTAATCAGAGTGCTATACATAGGGTACTACAATTGCCCACTTGCCTGCCTCCCCTACCAGATGCTGAGCTTCCTAGATAAGCACTTCTGTATGCCCACTGCTTTGCACATTGCCTGTTAGCGAGGGATGCTCAGTATGTGTTGCTTCAACAAATAAATGAATGTGGTGGATTGTAGGAGTGAATGGGATTGCCTCTGCATTTACCTGAAGGCATCAGGAATCCAGCAGTGTCAACTTATCTGAACCCACTTAGTTCAACCATTTCAATCTCCACTTATGATCAATTAGCTCAGTTAGTTCAACCACTTCCATCTCCACTTATCAATTTATCTTTTTAGTTATTAGCTACTTTCTATCATAATCAAATGCATTTCTCCATACAACCTTTTTCTTCTAATAAACAATGCCTTGCAGAGAGCTGGTCCGTGAGGCCACGGAGCACTTTGATATAATGTGGGTCGGTTTTATTTTCAGTTTACTGGCCAAAAGGCAGGCACAGAGCGGCACAGTGATTTTTACCAAGTTATATGTCGATCACAGATGGAGCCAAAAGTTATGCTTTATTTTGAGTCAACAAAAAAGTTACAGGATTGAACATAGAGCTGCAGCTAAGTTCACTGAAAGTTTATTTATATCCCTTGGAGAATTAGAAAGTACTCACACATGCTTTTCAAAGATAAGTCTTATTATACCATATCAATGTATAGCTTGTAGTATACCTATATCTCTGAGAAAAGTATTAAATCAAGTCATATGACTGTTTATTAATGATGCCTCTTTTCGTATTGATTCCACCCATCCCCTCTACTCCTTTCCTCTTGTGTACAGCGACAGCTCATCAGATGGCATTTCAGAACCCTGAGAATATGAAAGACATCAGGCACTAAGGTTTTCCCATCACATCTCAATGCCGTTTGGTGAATAACACCAGCATGCATCTTCACTACTAAATGTCATAAAAACAAATTTTAGTTGTTTCACATACAACCTGTGTGACTGCTGCAGTTTGTATCAACTATGTAACCACAGGGTGGGCAAAATAGCATTCAAAATGAACTATAGTGCAAGATCCCCTCCATACCTAGAGTTAAGCCCTTTCAGGCTTAGCAGTCACAATCAGGGTATCTTTGGTCCCACAGAAACATATCCTGACTTGGAATTTTCCTCTCCTGTGTGTTTACTGGATATAGTAAGTTCCTAACAGACATCTCCCCTGATTGCTAGCCTTGACAAATTTCCACAAGAACCAGGGCAAGGAGAAGACAGTGAGGCAGTGCCCACTACTCTTCAGATCACCAACAGAATAGAGTCAGAATATGATATTATTGAAATCTTCCAAGTTTGAATCAAGATAAAAACAACTTTTTAAAAATACCTAAAAACCTTTTATTTAAGAAAGTGAAATCGCTCAATGTGCCCTCCCACTCTGGTTAGATGCTTAGCAGACCACAGCAGACAATGCACCTCAACCAGGGCTAAGTGTGCAAGAAAACTGAAGTACACAAAAAGCAAATTATAGACTCAGGTACTGTCAGGCACAAAAGAAGAATCAGTCCTTTCTAGGAGTCTTGCCTTTGCTTCCTTTATTCTTTCCTCGATTCTTGTAATTGAATGTTACAAAGTATATCAAGAGGAATAAACGTATGGGTCCCGTCTCTTCCAAACAAGAAAAGGTTAAGCTTTTAATTACAGGCCCTCAAACTATCATTTTGTGCAATTAGCAATTAACTATAATCGTTGATGAGCAAACGCAAAGCTGCGCTAGCAATTTCCCTTCTCCTTATCCCAGGCTGGGTTATTTTAGTCTTGTTCTATTACAGAGGAGCAGTCACAACCGCGCGCACTCTTTCTTTCAAACATACACACTCTCTCACTTAAAGACACATTTAGTTTTTAGGAAAATGGCATCTCAGCGTGCGATTGAGACCGACATCCCAAACCCCACATTTGAGCGCCCCAAACGTTTGGAGCCCCTCAGCTTCATCACTTTCTGAGTGGAGAGAGGAGGCCCGAAGAAGATGCTACCTACCATCCTCTCTCAGGGGCGCAGGAGAGGGTGGTAGAGAGATGATTGTTGCCCCTGGAAACTGCAAGTACCCCCCAGGTGCACGCCCCGTTAGTGGGGAGGCAGTGGCAATAGCAACGATAGTTGCATCAGCGCTAACTGCTGCTGCTGCTGCTGCTGCATGTTCTGCTGGCGGCTGCCGGGAGGGTACAGTAATGACTGTAGAGAGCGCACAGCTGCTGCGGCGGCAGGTTCCCTGGATCAGGAAATTAGGACAGGCACCGGGGATTGGAGACGAGGGCGGTGCGCGAGCCAACCAGCGGCCGCCCCGGGCCCCCGTGAGCTCCAGGCGGCCTCGCGGAGCAGCCGGGCCCCTAAAGCAGCCCGGGTGGCGACGGCGGCGGCGGCGGCCACAGCCACGACCACGGTCACTCATGCACGCACGCTCACACTCGCACACTCCCGGCGCGGGCACCCAGCTGCCCGGCGCGTGTAAGAGGAGCGCGTCGAGGGAAAGGAGGACTGAAGCCGCCGCGCTCCCGCCCGCCCGCCGCGCCTCCCGTTGACCACTCCCCCTCCTGCCCCCTCCCCGCTCCTCACCCCGAGCTCCAGCCGCCGCCGGTGTGGGTGCTCCGCTACCGGCTCCTCTCTGTTCTGTCCTCTCTTCTGCTCTTGGCTCCCCACCCCCTCTCCCTTCCTTCCCCTCCCCTTCCCTCCCCTCCTCTGCAGCGCCTGCATTATTTTCTGCCCGCAGGCTCGGCTTGCACTGCTGCTGCAGCCCAGGGAGGTGGATGGGTGGGTGGGTTGGCTGGTGGGGAGGAGATTGTGCAAGTTGTAGGGGAGGGGGTGCCCTCTTGTTCCCCGCTCCCTTCCCCCCCAACTCCTTCCCCCTCCTTCTCCCCCTTTCCCCTCCCCGCCCCCACCTTCTTCCTCCTTTCGGAAGGGCTGGTAACTTGTTGTGCGGAGCGAACGGCGGCGGCGGCGGCGGCGGCGGCACCATCCAGGCGGGCACCATGGGCACGTCCGCGCGCTGGGCGCTCTGGCTGCTGCTCGCGCTGTGCTGGGCGCCCTGGGAGAGCGGCGCCACCGGAACCGGTGAGTGAGGACGCGCCCCTCCGCCGGCGGCCGGGACCCAGCCGGGGCACCGGGAGACCCCGAGGCGCAGGTCTCCGTTTGCCCACCGCCTCCTAGGAGGCGCCTCTCGGCTCTCTCTTGCCTTCTCTCCCTCCCCTCAGTGGTGGCGCCTCTGAGCTGTCAGCGCCGCGGCTAAAGGGAGCTGGGCTTGGGGAACAGTGGGGTTTGGGGTGTCCTGACGCCTCGCCTGAACTAGTCTTCGATCCCTCACACCGCCTCCCCCAAAGCCGCTGCTTTGCCTCGTTTCTCGCCCCCTTGACAGGGGCTGAGGTATGTGGGCTTCTGAGCATTGAACAATGGTTCTGCCTCCTCTGCCAGGCGGAGTGTTAGGAAGGAGGTAGAGGGCCGAGACGTGCGCGGCAGCCCGGGGCGCGCGCCTCGAACCTCAGGGAGTGTGGGAGCGGACGGTGGGCGAAGGTGAGGGCCTCCGGGGACGCGGGGCGCCAGGTGCGGGCCGGGGCTCGGAGTCTTCCGGCGGCCGTGAGCGGGCGCACGTTCGGTGGGCGGCAGCCGGGAGGCTCCGCGGAGCCGCGGGCAGTGCGCAGTCTGCGCACCCAGACTGCGTCTCCCCCGGCGCGGGGCCGCCTCTCCGGCGTGCGGGGTAGGGGAGGAGCGGGCTTTACGCAGGACTGTCCTCTGGGTGCTTCTCCCCTCCCTTTTCCACGCCTCGGGCGGCATTTGGAAACCTCTCGGGTCTCTCGTGTAGCTGAATGGGGAGGGGGAATGGAACGAAGACTTAATCAGGTTAGTTTGCTGATCCTCCTTCCCGTTGACGTTTCCTCGAGAGGAATTGAGTCCTAGGCTAGTGACTGTAATTAGCCTTCATTCTAAACAATAAATCAAAGGAACAGCGCGAGAGCGAGTGTGTGGCCCTGTCTTGTTGAGAAGGGCGGTGTGACTACTGTCGGGTCCCTAGAGTCTGCCGCAGGGGCTTGGGGGCCCTGCCTGGTCTTCAGCCACGTTCCCACTTGGGGCCTCATAACTTTCCTGGACAAGCGACAGGAAGCCCTTCTAAGAGGACTCAGTCAGAATCCTAGCGCGTCCCAGAAGTGATCTTCAGATGTGACGCCAAGGGGCTTGTTTGCCAGCTGCGGGGAATTGGGACTGAAAGCCGCCCCGGCCCGAAACACCCATTCCAGAGTCCCTAGCTCCAGTAGCCAGGTGGCTTAAGGGGCCCTGCCTGCCTGCAGTCACGTGCTCCTGAAGTGAGAGGGAACTTTAAAGTTTGTGGTCAAGGAGCCTCTCGGGCAATGCCTGGGGTTTTTACGTCTCCGAATGCCCCTGCCCTTTAGTTGCCACTGTCCGGAGGGTGTGAACTGGGATTGGCCTTTCTGCCCTCTGCGATTGGCTGGCAGTGCGATCACGTTTAGGTTGATCACATGGTTCCGCGGACTCCTAAGCGAGCAGCACGGGAAGTGTTATTTTCAATGGAAAGTAGGAGACTCCACAAGCTCCTCAAATGCCTTCCCCTGCCTGGACTCTTTGAAGAGGACGAATGTGTAGTGAACATGGAATCTGATGTGTAACAAGCCTGAGAGCCTAGAAAAGCTCTGCTTACAAGAGTTTTCAAACGCTAGCATTAATCATTAATGGATGAGTAATACTAACTTATTAAACGATTTCTCAGTATAGTGCCATGACTTGTATTATGCCTTTTGAAACATTTCAAAACACTAAGGTATACCAGGAGGGACAATTATCCAGGAAGGTGAGAGAAAACTTTCATTTTTGCTGCATGTCCCTTCCACTAGAGGTTAACTTTACCTTATAGAATGTTAGGAGTGCACCTAAACTGACTTGAGTTAGTCAAAGCCAGATATTCACCTTGTATTAGGCAGGTGAGGATCCTCTTTGTCACATGTGAAATATTTGACATGCCATGAACAATGGAAAAAACAAATTCTTCAAAGGAAAGGAGGCAGATTCTTTCAGAACTGGAGGAAATTTGGGCTGAGGCAGGTATTGACTCTAAACCAATCCCAACTGGCATCTGTCTTAAGTTCAAAGTCCCAGGGTATGTGGGCTCACTTCCTACCCTGGAGCTTCTACGCTCGCCCTGTCTCTCCACTGGCACATGGTGCTGTTCCACGGTACTCCTGGACAAGGCAGGTGAGCACCGAGACTCTGGCAAGGAACTTAAAGCTATTGAGAAGTTGGTATATCTGATTGCACAATTGCTGGGGGTTCTAGGACATTTTCCTCCAGCCTGAGTAGTCAGGATTAAGATCTGTGGTATGATATATTCTTGAAGGTCAAAGTCTAAAAAAACCAAGGTTTTGTGAGAGCTATTCATATATGGCTAGCAACTAGACTAAGAGTAGAAGGAAACTTCCCTCACTGTGAGAAGTGGGTTGGTGTTACTGGTGGTAGTAGTAGACCTGGAGGGAAGAAACTGGAAGGCATGGAAAGTAAACTTGGCTCATCCAGATACCACCAATGAAGGTATGACGATAGTAACCCTTATCAAAACCTGATCACTCATGTGAGCAAGGACTGTATAAAGGAAGGTCACCAGCCAAGCCCTTCTTGGCAGTAACAGCTTCTTGAAACCTAGTGTAGCTTTGTTCCCTGAATCACCCTCTTGCCCACTTTATGTGGCATTTACCTATAGTGCCTGTCCTGTGTCGTTTTGATTGTTTGCTTTTATGGCCTGAGTCCCCAGATACCTAAAGCATGTATAAAGGTCAAGTAGAGCTGCCAATATTAAGACTTTAGTACAATAGACTGCTATTTAACACTAAATGTTGCTAGCAAAGGTGACAGCCTCCATGCTCAAAAGAAGTGAAGACCTGATCCAAGTGTCTCTACCTGTCATAAAATTGAATAACCATAAACTTGACTTGACTTGACTAGTTTTATTACAATTTTGGAAGAGGAAGAAAGTTGTTACAAGCCTCTTCTGCTCCAGGAGAGGTAACAAACTGATGATACTTAACAAGGACTCCTAGAGTAGAACATGACCATAAGATCAAGGGAACAGATAGTACCCAGCCGTATGGCTTCAGGTTTTGATCCCAAACCTTGAAGACTTGGCACACAGCATAGAATTCATTTTAAATATCTAGCCCATTTTCTATTTCTCACAGAATGTAAATAAAGTCGTTCTTTTCAGTGCATGGAAAAGTGCTTAAAACGAGGCAGTTGCCTACATGACTTAAAGTAATGATTGCATTCACTTTGGATACTGACTTTCATTTGGAAAACCACCTTCATATACTAGCCTAAGAAATTAATGCATTAAAGGGCTTGATGAGGTCTATAGTGATGTTCATCGTAAATGTGCCTGCCTTAGGGAGCTCCTTGTGGTGGCTAATACAACTGCCCTCTCCATGGTTGGTTGATTAAATTCAAAATTGCTTAGTTTGGTCCCTACTAATTAATTAATCTCAAAAGACTACTTGGACAACAGCATGATAGACTGCTTTCAAGGCAAACAGTCCAAAAATACCGTCTACTGAGGTTATGGGCGAGATAGACTTGTTAAGCAGAAGTAAGTAGTCCAGGGACAATTTGGGACAATTTTTTCTGCCACCTAAGAGTTTTGGGCTGGAAAATCTGAGGACTGACAGTTCTGAAGAGCTGGGGCAGAGTCTAACCTAGCTATAGGAGAATCTGGCTTTTAAGTAAAAATCATCTCAATTTTACTCTCTGCATTTTTCAAACTAAATCGGTGTCTCTTTGCTAAGTTCTTCTATTGGCTTGCAACAAAAACTCTAAACACTGTTAATACCACTTAGAGACACTAACCACACTGCAGGAACCAAATGAGATGACAGGTGATAACACAGGTTGGGTGTCCCGTATCTGAAATACTTGAAACCAGAAGGGTTCCACAGATTTTAGATTTTTTCAGATTTTGGGACATTCACACATACATAATAAGATATCTTGGGGATGGGACCCAAGTCTAAACATGAAATTCGTTTATATTTTACATACACCTTATACACATAGCCTGAAGGTAATTTTATAGAATACTTTTAATGATATTATACAAGAAACAAAGTTTTGACTGCAACTTGTCACATGATGTCAAGTGTGGAATTTCCCCTTATGGCATCATGTTAGCACTCAAAGTTTTGGATTTTGGAGCATTTCAGATTGTGGATTAGGGATGCTCAACCTGTACCATAAATTTAGCATATTTTTCCCATTGAGTGAAGTCTCCTAGGAAAGCTTGGCCCAATAGTTTTTGTTTGTTTGTTTGTTTTTGAGACGGAGTCTCGCTCTGTCGCCCAGGCTGGAGTGCAGTGGTGCTATCTTGGCTCACTGCAAGCTCGGCCTCCCGGGTTCACGCTATTCTCCTGCCTCAGCCTCCCGAGTAGCTGGGACTACAGGCACCCACCACCATGCCCTGCTACATTTTTTGTATTTTTAGTAGAGATGGGGTTTCACCTTCTTAGCCAGGATAGTCTCGATCTCCTGACTTCGTGATCCACCCGGCCTCCCAAAGTGCTGGGATTACAGATGTGAGCCACTGCACCCGGCCCCAATAGTTATTTTGGGTCTCTAAGCAAGATAATGCCTGCTAGGTCCTGTGAGGGTAAGTGTGGAGATTCTGTTAGAAATGTTGCAATGCTTGCTTAGAGATCCTTTGCCTACTTTGTAGTTTAGAGATGCTGGAAACTATAAGATGGAGCCTCTGGCTAGAACAGCTGATTTTGCCAACTTGGGGGGCATCTGGGTAGCCTTTATGTATATAGACATGGTGGTGGGGATGGGGGGACTTGCAATTTGCCAAGCAAGGGACCTAACAAAGCCTTGGCGATAGACAGCATTTGTGATTACATCATATGTCGGAACTTAATAGTTCTCCCACATACTGTGAGTAAACAGGGTTTCTATTTTATAGACTGCCTCTAATCTTTCATTTTCTTAAAGACTTCCCCAGATCTGAGGTATTAACTGATCTATATGTTCACTAAGTAGGTTGTAGATTGATGCTGGTCATCTTTGTGCATCTTCTTGAAACCACTTGATGTATATCTACTGAGTACCTACCGTATGGCACCAGGCACAGGGTCAGTGACCAAAGCACTGGTTCCTTCATTCGTGGCACTTAGTCTAGTGGGGGAATCAAAGCAGGAAACAGCCGAAGACTGCTTGGAATAGAAACTCTGAAGAGGAGTGAGCAGATCCATTGTTTAAGACCTAATCATAAAAGAGGCAGACAGCAGCTGAAGATTGCTGGAGTTTCCGTGTGCTATCTGGGTTCTAGCTTATGAAGTTTCCCTAAAATCACCAAGAACTTAGACTTTAATATGAAAAAGCCAGTAAAGAGTCTATCTCTGCAGATAATCCTACAAAAGTGATATGATTCAAGCAACAATGGATTACTGCCAGTATTACCAAAGAGCAGTAAAACATGTCAGAAGTAAAATCTGGATCTGATATATCAAACTCTTAACCTTACCAGTTAGCCGCAGCTAACTTTCTCAGGTGTCAAAACCTCTCTTTTCACATGGAAATGAAGCCAACACACCCAAAGGGACACACTCATTCTGACAGACAAGTGTGTGAAAATGCACTGTTTTTAAATGATAAATTGCAACAAAGAGGCCGGGCGTGATGGCTCACACCTGTAATCCCTGTGCTTTGGGAGGCCGAGGTGGGTGGATCATGAGGTCAGGAGTTCGAGACCAGCCTGGCCAACATAGTGCAAGCCCATCTCTACTAAAAATACAAAAAAAATGAGCGGTGTGTGGTGGCACGCACCTGTAATCCCAGCTACTCAGGAGGCTGAGGCAGGAGAATCACTTGAACCCGGGAGGCAGAGGTTGCAGTGAGTTGAGATCGCGCCACTGTAGTCCAGCCTGGGCTACAGTGCGAGACTCTGTCTCAAAAAATAAAAAAAAAAAATTGTTACAAAGATGAGGTAAAGGTACCCTCATAGGCATAGGGAACAGGGACCTTTATAACCTAGAGTGTTTCAAAGTATTCTAGCTAGTAAAAAAACCAGTCACACTTGGTTTCAAGTTCTGAAAAGCTGGGGAAAATGTTTTTGACAAAAGTTTTTAGTTGAGACCAGCTTTATTAGTAAACTAATAAATCAACTCATGCACCCAAGACTACCAACTAGTGCCTAGAGAATGTAGGATGTCACGCACCAGGTCCTGAGTTACAAATGTATATTGCAGACCATGCCTTAGGAGATCTCTGTGTCTAAAGGTGAAAAATGGTAGCTGAACTCATCTCCTTGTGTGATGGCTCTGTGACAGGGACTATTAT